GAAGCAAATCTCCCCAAACGTTTGTGGACGTATGCCGTAATGACAGCGGTGTATATTAGAAATAGGTGTTTTAATTCTAGGTTAGGAAAAACTCCGTATGAAGCACTGACAGGTAAGCAACCTAATCTTAGCAATATGCATGTCTTTGGCTCAACATGCCATGCCTTTGTTCAAAATGTTAAGAAATTAGACGACCGGAGCCGTAAAGGTGTTTTTGTAGGTTATGATAAAGACAGTCCAGCATACTTGGTATACCACCCAAAAACAAACAAAGTGGAAAAGGTAAGATGCGTGAAATTTTTTGATAATTTTGAAACTGAGCCTGAGGCGTGTAATGACAACCAAGAGTTAATTGTGCCAAATAAAGAATACGTTGAGACTACGGTAAATGCTAACGAGCTGCCTCAGCAAATGGATGAAAATGCTGGTACAGCAGAGGTAGAGAACAACACGGCGAGATATCCAACACGCACTCGCAACAAACCAAGGTATCTTGATCAGCCTATTATTGACGACAATGTTAACCGCACTGTTGATTATTGCTTTAGGGCTGTAGACATTCCAAAATGTTACAAGCAAGCAATAAAATCGCTGGAGGCTAACAAGTGGCAAAATGCCATGAATGCAGAGGTAAGCGCATTAAACGATAACAATACGTTTGAGTTAGTCCCACCACCAATAGATCGACAGATAGTGGGGGGAAGATGGGTTTACGCTGTAAAAATCGGCCAAAATGGGGAAGAAACCCATAAAGCAAGATATGTAGCTAAAGGGTATTCTCAAATTCCTGAGATTGATTATCAGGAAACGTTTGCCCCGACAGCTCGCATGAGCTCAATTCGTACATTGCTACAACGTGTTGTGCAGAATGACATGATCATTCACCAAATGGATGTCAAGACCGTCTACCTTAATGCGCCTATAGATTGTGAGCTCTATATGGAACAACCAGAAGGTTTCGAGGAACATGGTGAGAATGGTGAAAAATTAGTGTGCAAATTAAATAAGTCATTATATGGTTTAAAGCAAAGTGGGAGAAACTGGAATAATTTATTACACGAGTATCTGCAAAAGGAGGGTTTTACTCAGTCACAGGCTGATCCATGTGTGTATGTGAGAATGATTGACTCGAAGCGATGTGTTATAGTAATTGTATGGGTTGACGATATCATTATCGCAGCCAGTCATTTTGAATTACTAACAACTGTAAAAGAATCTTTAGGTGAAAGGTTCAAAATGAAAGACCTAGGTAAGCTATCGTGGTTTTTAGGTACAGAGTTTAAATGCAAGAAATCGTGCATCGAAATGAATCAGAAACAATATATTGAAAAAGTATTGTTAAAGTTTGGGATGGCTGATTGCAAGCCCAAGCCTACTCCATGTGTTTTAGGTATCGAGAAGGTCTCAGATGAAGAATCACCAAGCTTAGAAGACCCAGGTGAGTATAGGGCTATTGTTGGGAGCTTAATATACGTTATGACAGGCACCAGGCCTGATTTGTGCTATATAGTGACGAAGCTCTCACAGAAAATGTCTAAGCCCACAAGAGCCAATCTCGACTTGGCTAAACACGTTTTAAGGTATTTGAGGGGTACATCTGAGCAAGGTTTGACATTTAGGAAGTCAAACGTTCCGCTAAAGTTGAACGGATTTTGTGACTCCGACTGGGGCGCATCAGTTGCCGACAGGCGGAGTATAACTGGCTATAATTTTCAGTTGTCTTCAACAGGTCCTTTAATATCCTGGAAGAGCCGTAAACAACCAACAGTTGCACTCTCTACATGCGAGGCAGAATATATTGCGCTTGCAAATGGCGTACAGGAGGCAAAATTTTTGAGACAATTATGTATCGACATGAAGGTAAGTATAAGTGATGATAATGTACTTATTCAAGTAGATAATCAGGGAGCTATAAACTTAGCTAGAAATCCCGTACACCATCAAAGGTCGAAACATATAGATATTAAGTATCATTTTATAAGATCCGAGATACAGGTAGGTACCATAACTTTGAAATATGTTCCTACTGAGGACAATATAGCTGACGTCTTCACAAAGCCAGCTAGCAAAGGTAAGTTAGAAAAATTTAAGCACTTCATGTTAGGTTTATAAATGCGCTGCGTAATACAAATATATTAGAAATTAAAAAAAAAAAAATTATTGATGTAATTTATATAGATGCTCAGAACATAAGAGCAAGTGGGGGTGTTAGAATATGCTCCTGATATTCTGTTGACAATGATAATAAGATTATTAGTTAATGAATGACATTGATTACTATAGATATGTATGTAAAATGTAATCTCCGGATACCACAAATTCCAGTACAAATAGTTGCTCCATGTACCAAACTGTATACCATTTATGGTAATAGAATGTGATATGTCAAAATACTTATTATAGATATAATCTTGTATATATATGTGTGATTTTTATTATTAAATACATTCTTTTGTAAAACTCCAAAGTTGTATGTTGTGCTTCGTATTCGAGAAGAAGAGCGATGGCAACGGTACAAAACCCAACAGTTTCTGTTGAGGCGGAAAATGTTTGCCAATCAGTCCTACTATAAGTTGGTTTTGACACTCTTACTGAAGGAAGGGTTAACAGTGCTTTTTTAAAGTGTCTATATCACTTGTGGGACCTTTATGGGTTTGAAAAGAGCGTAAAAAGTTAGTTAATAAGTTCAAAAGATTTTTTTGATTTAGTGCAATAGTTTTGAGGATATAGGCCTTTAAACAACGGACTGTTCCTGAGTCCCAGTCTCCTGGGCTCTAAACACGGCTATTGAATTTGACCTTTTTCCAAACTGTCCATTGTGCATTGGAGCCTGTGACTCAAGAACTGTAGGTAGTTTAGAGGTCTGTATCTTCGAAATTATTGCACTAAATCAAAAAAATCTTTTGAACTTATTAACTAACTTTTTACGCCCTTTTCAAATCCATAAAGGTCCCACAAGTGAATTTTCACTGAGGGGGGTGGGGGCAAAACAGGGAAAAAAGGCAGAACGAAAAATATGAGCGTCGAGGTTTGGCGAACGCGCGAGTCTGAAGAGAGATTTTGTAAAACTTTAATTTATTAACTTCAGCTATATTTTATTTTAAACAATAACTTCAACTCTTTGTAGCTACAATCGTACAGCTATAACTCTTAATATAACTTGAAATTTTTAAGAAAAAAGTTTTGCAACTAAAATCTCGTTGTTTATATGTGTCAAGACATCAGGGGCGTAGGAACCGAGGGGGCCAGGGGGGCCAGGACCTCCAAGTTTTCCAAAGTGCCCTTTTTCCGGGAGCAAAGTGCCCTTTTCTTTCGTGAAAAATGTCGTTCAGATTGCATTTTTTGCCCAAAGGGCACTTTTGAAAACTTGAATTTATGTTATTTCCGGAAAATTTTTTTCATTTCCGGGAAAAATGTGATATCTCCGGAAAATTTTTTGAACCCCCCCCCCAACTTTTAGATGCTTCCTACGCCCCCGCAAGACATGGCCTTGCATTGCGCCTTTCTTGTTGAAAAAGGATACAACGCGGCTGGCCTTGGGTCATATGAAACGGTTGGCACACCGTTCCAGGCTATGATCATTCTATCATTTAACGTTTTCTGGTTTGTTGTTGTCCTCAGCTTCGAGTACAGAATATTATATGTTGAAACACTTCGTTCAACTGTCATGCTATCAGGTGAAATCACCACTATTGCAGACAGCTGCAGATCTCTTACTAAACCAGTGCTATGTCTGAAAATACAAAAATAAATAAGAAAAATATTATATATCTCAATTCTTATAAGTTACTTTGGTTTTTAGCAACACAGCTTACCTTAGCATATGTAATATCCTGACTGTGTAATCTTTTCCAAAACGTGTGAATTATATATAATTAGGTTTCAGATCGTCAAATATACCTCGAAAACAGTGTCAGTGAATTCCTTCACATCATCACCAACTATACCTGCGCATTCGAGTTGTGGTCTTGAGGCAACAACAAACTCATTTATTGATTTTGCACCACAGATGTCAACAATGTTTTCCATTATGCCTTCTTGCTCATTGTCTAATCTTTGCTCAAGGAAGTTGATGGCTGCATTAATAATCTCATTTCGTATGGTAGTAAATGGTCGTCCCTGGTGATAACCATCAATTAAGGTGTGTGTTCTCTTTGCTTGCCTCGATGACTCAGCAGATTGTCCAGATCGATCAATATCAAAGGGATCATCAGTTTCTTTTACCCACGTTCTTCCGAACCACCAGCATATGGTGTACCTAACATAGATCTGAGCGTCAGGAGTGTCTGTGCTTCATGATGTCAGGAAGAACAATGCAAACTTTCTGGAAGTGCGTCTGCAAGATCTGAAACACAGAGCATAAATCAGAAACAATGGAAGTGATATATGACTGTATTCCATCCTTTTTCCACAGCTTAATGAAACCATCAGCACATTTTCTTTCCCTTGTATCAAAATCCCTACTTTTTGAAACATTATCCCAGTGCTGCAGGGATCCAATTTGATTATGAAGGACAGCAATACAGACATTGTTTAAATGCTGGGAAAACAGCACATTGTGGTAAGTGGGGAAAGCCTTCATGGTAGGAAGAACTTTTTTCAGTTCTTTCGTCCTGACGACAGACTTGTGATAGTATTCTGGGATGGAAATTAGATTTGACTTCCAAACTTTTAACTCAGGAACACTTTCTTCCATATCTTCCATTGCAAGGTCAGAACGATGGCAAGCACACCAAAAGTTCATCAGTTTTCGCTCTACATGATCTTCTAACCTCTTCCACAAGCCAGATTTAGGTCCTGTATTAGCAGATTCGCCATCTGCAGTAACACCAGCATATTTTTTTTTATTACAAGTTTGTCTACTCCAATTGTTGTTAAGCCTGTAAGAACACAATCTTCTAAGCCAGCAGAGTCTGTTACACCAACAAACTTGTCTTAATTTCTAACGGGTCATCAGGAGAGTTGTATTTTAGAAACAGAAACTTATTGTCACGCTGCATGGTGTCTACAGATCCATCAATTTTGGTGGAAAACTTGATGGCTGTGTTTACTTCATCTTTCAGTTTCACTTTCTCGAGCTCTGCAATAGTGGTAAGCATTTCTTTGTAAATGTTGGATCTCTGTAATGCAAATCTGTTGAGCTTCGTTCAAGTGGAATGAATGGACTCTGCAACCCATTTTCGTTCAGAGGCGAAATAAGCTGATCAGCATGTGCTGTGGCAAGTGCTCTTGCAGGCCATGACCATGCTTATGGGGTTAGCAGTTTACTATAATTATAAACGTCAATTGCAAGTTTGATCAGGTTTTCTACTGTTGTTTGTTCTTGCCTTTTCAAAACTCTTACCAAAGGATGATTTAGGTCCTGACTGTCCCACAGTTCCTTGTACTTCTTTGCATCCAAAGCTGCCTGATGTATTTCACTATGCAAATGATCGATTATGTTTTTGAGTTTCTCTTCCGAATCACATCTTACTCCATATGCTATGTAAACAATACCATGCCTTGATCTTTTTTCGCTTGTTTTTCAAATTGCGAACAGATATTGCATTAAGCTGTCGTTTACAGGAGCCAATTTTCTCGCTATAAGACAAAAATACAGTCAATACAGTAAACTAACATTCTGACCTTAATTTTAAAGGTAACATTACACTCAAAATATGTAACAAGATACATGCATATGTTTCAAAGTTATCATAGAAAATAGTTTCCTTCGCGCCATAAGGATGGCAACACCCGCCGGCATCAGCATTAAAATATAGCAAAAATACCCCATTTTCAAACCGCGATTGCTTCTCGATTTGGAGGCGATTTAGCGTTTTAAAGAACCAACAGAAAGAGCAAGTCTTCCTGAATTTGATGACGTGTTTTTTTATCTTTCTCATTAAAAAAGGTAATTCGCTCCTGCATTATTTCAAAGCCATTTTATTGGCGTGTCCATTGACCCGAAACAAGCATAAATACAATGCGTAATTGACCATTTGCGTAATAGACTAAATTTTGATCTCAACAAAAATTTCATTACAGCTTGAAGGAGCATCACAAAATTAGTAATATTCCAAAGTTTCGCTGCAAAATGTTGTAAAATGCGGAAAATATAGCCTTGCGAAATTTGCAATTTTCAGTCATTTTAGATTACAAACCGGAAATTGACAGCCTCGAAGGGTTTGGGGCTGTCAATTTCCCGTTTGTAATCTAAAATGACTGAAAATTGCAAATTTCGCAAGGCTATATTTTCCGCATTTTACAACATTTTGCAACGAAACTTTGGAATATTACTAATTGTGTGATGCTCCTTCAAGCTGTGATGAAATTTTTGTCTAGACTTGTTTAGTTCAAAATGTAGTCTATTACGCAAATGGTCAATTAGCATAACTAAAAAGCAATATCTATACAAAAAACCCATAAAACTGTTTAATTAGATGTCCAAACAAAACAATTATCAACACATACCTTCGAAAAAACGAGATCTTCAGAGCCAAAAATCGCAATATATTTCAACAACTTTTTAGTTAACGTTTGCCAAAAATCGTAATTGTGAATACTGATAATGAGACGCAATGCATTGTGGGAAGTGCATTGTGGGAGACTCTCATTCCTCCTCTGGGCTAGCATTTTATCCGATTGTTTGTATGAAATCTATCGCTATTATCGGAAATATTTGGTGAAGAACAATATGAACTACGCACAAGATGGCTGCGGAGGAGGCTATGGAAGGGCATAATCTCATTATCAAGTAAATCAACTGCAATTGTGACAGCAATCATGAGCAATTCTGCTTCGCACTTCGGGGGCAGAAATGGCTTTACTGGGGGAGGGGCAAGTCCTTTCCCTCGGGGGGGGGGGAATTGCCGCCCCTCCCAGATATATAGTTAAAAAAGGCACTGATTGTTAAACTAAATAATACTGCGTTGCCTATTTCTTCGTGGTCATTGTTGTGGTGTTTCTTTCATGTATAGCCTAGTTTGTGATCGAAATTACTGTGGGTAGTGCATTTTGGTAAAGAGGAGCAGTCTCCGAGAAATGTTTGCTCGTCTGATGAGAGAAGTGAGATGCGCTTGTTTATGGATGTAGGCAGTTGTTTTATGATGTTAGGTGGGTGGTTTGAGTGTCTGAGAAGTTTACTACACGTAAATTTGCCTCTGCTGTGATTTTTAAGTTAAATTGCACGAACATTTTGTGGAGTTCTTTTCTCGTTTTATCTGCCAAACGTACTGATTTATTTTTTATATACGGTATAGGCCTATAGCCAATCCATCGTCTCTATACAAGCTGATGTTTTCTTGGCCAAACTTTTTCCCGCTGGATGGTTTAGTATGGAAAGGCCTACAAGTTGATGATAAATGATGATGATAAACTTTATTTAAAAATCACACGCTAGCCTCGTCAACTTTCGCTGATTTCCACGAGGGGCGTGTCAATTACATTATAAATAGTAACAAACATTAAAAATAGGTACGCAGTGCGTACATGTTGCATGCCTTAGAAACGTTCAGGCCGATTTCCATTCAGTGCAAAATCAGGGATGGAAATTTTTTTTTTATTTCTGGGAACCTGGGACAAAGGCTAGAAATTTTCTGTAAAATTTGTAATGTTACAATTACAAAAATAACAAAACAAGTGCATAATTATTGTATTATTTGTACTTTAGTAATAATGGGCTTTAGGCTTTATTGTACGCTTGTACATCACAATAGTTGTCTGTTATATACCACAGTTATGAGTTATGAACAACTAGTAAGGATCTTGATTTTTCCTGTGTTGGTGTTATGTACTAAGGTGAATATGATGTTTGTGATGTTACTCTGAGTGTATATCCACACCGGGCAAACTTGAAAAATATGCCTGGCCACGATGGGAATCAAACCTACGACACTTGGATTACTAGCCCAATGTTCTGCCAACTGAGCTACGCGGTCAGGTCGGTTCGAGTATGTGATATTTCGGAACTGAGTTTAGTTCCTTTGACATCAATGTAATCTAGTATTCCAAAGGTCCTATAGGTTCGATTCCCACCGTAACCAGGCATATTTTTCAAGCTTGCCTGGTGTGGATACACACTTAGAATAACATCACAAACATCATATTCACCTGAGTATACAACACCAACAGAAAAAATCATGATTTTTAGATTACGTTGATGTCGAAGCAACTAAACTCAGTTCCGAAATATCACATACTCGAACCGACCTGACCGCATAGCTCAGCTGGCAGAGCATTGCCATTGGGCTAGTATGCCAAAGGTCGTAGGAGGTTGAATTCCCATCGTGGCCAGGCATATTTTTCAAGCTTGCCCGGTGTGGATAGACACCAAGAATAACATCACAAACATCATATAATAGTAAGGATCTAACGCTTAACCACGGGCAATAGGACAGGTGTAGTGTTGTTAAATATAAAGTTAGAAATGGTATTATACTTACTCATGCATTATAATTTGTTTAAAAGATCAGAATATTCATACCTTCTTATTTTGTTTCATAAATAGTTCTTTAATATTCGAAACAAATTCCATATCTGCTTCGTCTGCCATCGCCATGTTTACTCGTCCCAATCTACATGCTGCACGGCATTGCCGCCCCTCCTGGCAAAATAATAAGCAAGCGAGAAAAATTAAGGAGAAAATGAGAGGGTAGGAACATCGTTGTCATAAGCTGGATGCAGTGACACTTCCATATATGGCACAAACGTATCCATAACTTCCATATATGGCACAAACGTATCCTCGACGCGTTTTATAACGTTTTATTTGACGTAGGGATGACGTAATGCTGCTTCCCGCCTATGACGATTTGAATTAGTCATGTGATACAAGATTGCGAAAGCCGATTCGCCCAGAACGATGACACGCCCACGAAACGCCCACAGTGTTCCTACCCTCTTATTTCTCCTTAATTTTTCTCGCTTGCTTATTATTTTGCCAGGAGGGGCGGCAATGCCGTGCAGCATGTAGATTGGGACGAGTAAACATGGCGATGGCAGACGAAGCAGATATGGAATTTGTTTCGAATATTAAAGAACTATTTATGAAACAAAATAAGAAGGTATGAATATTCTGATCTTTTAAACATAATTATAATTAACAACACTACACCTGTCCTATTGCCCGTGGCTTAACTAAGTGTCCTATCTTATTTATTCCATCACTTTTATTTGTTTACTATTTAATTTGCATTTTAATGGAGACTTTGCAGAGCATATATTTACCATTTTACCGGTCCGCTGATTGTGATGGCAGGGGTGGGCAAAAGAATTAATTTCTGTCAAATACTTAAAAGCTGCTGATGTTATCGTGTACGGCGTAAATAAAGTAGAATAGTTGTAACTTGTAAGTTGAGTAAACAGAGTTATCTCAAAATGTTGAAATATTTTCTGGAAAATTTTCTGCAAAACTCTCAACTCAAAAAAATTTCTGGGAACTAGGTTCCCAGGTTCCGATACCGTTTTCCACCCCTGTGCAAAATATCGCGAGATCAACTTTTTGCGACCACTTTCTTTTGAAATGCGTTCAGTCAACCTGATCCGTTGCGTTTGATTGCTTGTATTTCAAAAAAAAGTGATCGCAAAATGTCGATCGCACGACATTTTGGTCCAACTGGCCTGAAACTTAACATATTGATTCAATAAGTTTAATATCAATATATATATTGAAAAATAGCTATTATGTCAAAATGAGAAAACGTAAGATTCCCATACGAATAGGCAATGCTTTATGAACGACTGTTCATCTGCAGTTGCAAGGGACGGTAATAACAAGGTCAACTGCTCAAGGTCAGAGTCAAGGTTTTATCACTGATTGACTATTTGAAGTAAACAATGTTATTAATACAGTAATTTAAACAAATTTACCTTTATTGTAGCTTATTGAAAGTATAAAAACCCGTGGAAACAGTGAACTACTATAATAGATTGATAATAATTATTAGACTATGATCTCGACCATGATTGAAATTATCGAAGTAGAATGCTATTTCGTTGTATTAAATTTCAATAGACAATAGTATAATGGAATTTTGTTTGACTTTTAAATATATTTCATGTTATTTACAGGATGTGATGTAGTTTTGACGTTTTGCACACAATTTAATCAGTGCTAGCACAATGGCTTCGTTTCAATTTGAGCATATTTTGATAGCGTAGCGGTTTATATATCGTGTGAAAGGTTACGGCGTAGCCTTTCACACGATATATAATATTAAAACGCCTGATAATTGATAAATATCATTGCGATCACAATGGCACCAAAATAACAAAATAACAGAATATAAGGTAAATTAAAAACAGCAACGCTTTATCTACCTCGATCTATTTTTCTAAGGCGCTAAATTACGTAAATTTTCGACGAAAAATCAATATTTTCTTTATATTTTACGAATCTGTCACGTGATTTACCTGCACCGCCGGTACAACCACAGGGGGCCCCACTATGAGTTATGATTGAAATAATATTGTATTTATTTTTAAAAACCTACTTGAATCCCTTGATAATCGATTATTTCTTCTCTCGAAATTCTGTAAACATTTTAAACTGCTTGAATCCATTATACTATCACTCTACATGAAGTATAGATATCGATGACAAGTAAGAACGCGGGCGCGAAAATACGAAGGCGGCAAAAGAAGGAAGAATTAAACTAAAGGGTTGAAACTTCGGCGGGTAATCGTTTGATGTGTTCCATAAGTAGGTTGTTCTCCGGAAATTTTCTCACGAGGTAGTCTCGGCACGTCTAGCAAGGGGTGCCGTGCCCAAATTTCGAAAAAAATAAAAAATATGTTCGACATCGAGCATGCGCAAAACAAATTGTCTTCTTTCCAACATGGCAGCAAGCGGGGAAAAACTACAACTTGCCAAAAATAAAAAAAAACAAAGTTAAAAAACAAATTTAAATAACACTGAATGTGAATGTTGCTCTAGTTGACTCGGAAATTTTTATACCACTGTTCGTCGCTGAAGAGAGCAGTAACTAGCTAGGTCGTAGCAAATAGCTGTCGTTCGATGCGTCCATACCTCTCGAAATCGTGGCGGGTGAATACAAGATGGCACAAAATTTATGCGAGAAAACAACCCCTTTCGTCTTAAAGGGCCTGTTCATATGGGCAAAGGTTATTTCGGTTGACGAGAAATCTTTTCGACTAGCCAAATATACTTTTGTTCTGTCCACATGCATGGATCCGAGAAATGTTATTCCGCTTACCGGGTAAAGTTTCCGGCTGTGACATAGCAGAATTGATATTGAACTGAAAAGTCAGTACTGACACGACAGAAAGCTATCCTGCCAAGCGGGAACTAGAGTTGTGTTCATATGGGAAAAACGTTATCACTCGACAAGTGAGATCTCGGTACATACACGGGAAAACGTTTTGTATTATATGAACGCAGTGTAAACAAACTTTTCATATTATTTTCATACCAAGGCGAGATCTCGCTTGTAAACGTTTCGAAAAGTTTTTTCACTAACCAGGATAACTTTTGCCCATATGAACTGGCCCTTGAAGTACGTTCCTAGTATAGTTTATTCTTTAAAATATACCGTCGTAAACGGAAAATAGAGGTGCCGTTTTCCGATGGGCACACACTGAATATCAATTGAATTGAAAAGATGCTGATACGACAGAAACTCAGTATCCCGCTAAGCGGTAAAGTTGTGTTCATGCATATGGGAAAAACATTATTCCGGTCACCGAGATTTGGCTTGTCAACAAGCGAAATCTCGGTACACGGGAAAACCTTTTGTCTCATATGAACGCAGTGTAACTTTTCATATTATTTTCATACCAAGGCAAGATCTCGCTTGTAAACTTGTCGAACCGCTAACCGAGATAACTTTCCGCTAACCCCGATCGCTACTGTGAACCGGGATAACTTTTGCCCATATGAGCTTTACTAGCCTTAAAGTACTTTTCTAGTATTGAATTGGCTTTTTCCCTCGATTTTCGGCTCATATAATACTCTTCTTCGTTCCAATAAATATAAATATATAATTCTATTTCTGTCCGACATATTTATTCTTTAAAATATACTGTCGTAAACGGAAAGTAGAGGTGCCGTTTTCCGATGGGCACGGTGCCTATCATAAAAGTGTGTTTACAAAATGTTGTCGTGTAAACGAGTAAATAGCGAAGTGGCGGTTTTGGCACGGTCCAAATTTTATAATCACTGACAGACTTTCTCTGTTTGGCTATAGTATCAAATGTTTACATTTGCTAATATTGGGCTCTAGTCCCAGACATCACAGACAATACAATACAATACTGTTTCTTTCAATCTTATAAACAAGACCCATATACGTAGTAACAAGTAATTAAATCGGTGAAAAGCATATAAACATTTACAAGAAAGGACAAATCTAATGGCGTATTTTAAAAACATTACATATGTAGAAATGATGACTGAAAAGCTCATAATAAACGTTTGTTATAAAACCGCGCTCGAGTGTGAAGAGACGGCATTGAATAACCGAACACGAGACAGCACTCTGAGTAACGATTTGCTTGGTTTCTTGACTTGACTGTTGGTAAAAATGTAAGAATGTTCTTGTAAATTCAAAGCAAAGAAAATAAACAAAAATTAGCAAGTATTTTGAACTTAATAATTCGCAAAATTTATGTTTTTAACTGTTAAACAAAATATCTCCACTGGAATCATGTAATTTGATACTTTCCCCACACCCCCTCGGGCGCTAAATTTTGGACGAGGCACGTGACCAGCCCATACCAGGGTATTTCCTAAATACCCTGGAAACGAGGTTGAACGAATGTACGCATATTCTGTGTGCTCTATCTAGTTTATATTCAAAATGTCCATCACATGTATCTAAACTATCAAACTTAATTCCATCGGAATCGAAATACTAGTCTACATGCGGCAGTCGGGCAGTGTGCCCAGCAGTCAGGAAATGTAATAGTCCCAAACTCTAAACTAAAGCGTTAAAAATATTCTCTTAATTAAAACAAATTAAACCCACCCCACACACAACCCTAACTCCTAATCCTAAGACCTAAGCTTAAAATCATACTGAGAAGAAGTTGAAAAAAAAACTTTTTAATTTGAAAATATAAAAACTGTAGCATACGGCATTTGAACCCGGGAACCACGCTTTGCAACCGGGCGCCTAAACCACTGTGCCACAAGGAGCCCGCTCTGTTAACTCGTAAATAATGCACTTTGAAGGAGTAAGCTGAAATACAAAACGGTATTAAATCTTGATGCGAATACACTGAATACGCAGATATTATGCAAATCCTTCAGCTCGAGTATAAACGCTTAGCAAGCATCTTGCTGAAATTTCGTCTTCAGCTATATTAGTCAAATATATATGAAGCCCATGAGACAAGGCATGCTTGTTAATTCCAGTAAATTTTCCGAAATTGAACGGTAGAAACCAGCAACTACAGTATATGTTTATATCAAACGAAATAAAAGTATGCTAGTGTGTTTTAAATTTCCTTTATGTTGACGAACCATTCAATTACTTTTTGCGTGTTTCTCCATTGATTTACGTTCAAAATTTCTCTCAGATTAGAATTGATTTTTTTTAATTGATTTTGATTAGAATTAATTTTTCCAGATTCACTTTTGGCAGGATTAATTAGTTGGCATTTTAGGTTGTTCTCGAAATTTTCTTTATTGTCTTTAAATTAATTAAGTGAAATAAATTATTCGCGTTTTATCATTTGTTCAATTCGATTGCCAATCTCTAGTTTGTTTGAAATGTCTTTCAGTTCATTATCAATCTGCGAAATGGTGTCCTCTGATCCGTGTTTATATGTTTTTATTATGTTGTCGTGCATCATAAGCTTGTCATATGTGTCGAGCGGTGTTTCATAAATGTTTCTAGTTTTATCTGCGAAACAAAAATGTTGGAAGTCGAGTTAATTTTCTTTAAATCATTTGCCAAAGATTCCTGAAATTCGTTTCTTGCGTTTCGAAATCAGTTTATGTTTTCTATAAGATTGAAAAGGTCGTCTTCGAAAGGTTTCATTTGCAAAATAGCGGGAGGTGTTTTGGAAGCCGAAACGGTTGCTTTCGTTTGAATTTTTATCACCTTTTATAAAATAAGAAAATTTCAGAGTCCAGTCCAAAGTCCTGTCCAAAGTACAGTCCAAAGTACAGTCCAAAGTACAGTCCAAAGTGCCACAGTCCAAAGTACCACAGTCCAAAGTACCAAAGTACGTACCACAGTCCAAAGTACCACAGTCCAAAGTACCACAGTCCAAAGTACCACAGTCCAAAGTACCACAGTCCAAAGTACCAAAGTACCACAGTCCAAAATCTAGTCTAGATCCAGTCCAGTGTTTACAATAATATGCCGTATTAGTGCGATCGAGACATGTTTATATATACATGAAAATATTTCAAATAACATATAAGACGTTCTAATTTCTTATAGTTACAACGCGAGGGGTCCATATTTCTTGCTCATAAATTCACGAATAATGGTATTAAAAACTAAAAACCAACCATGCATGAATATTTTTATTTATAGAAAACAACAAAAACATCAATTTGGTTTTCTACACGGATAAAATTTGAAACAGTTTTATTCTTTAATTAATAACTAAAAATCAGCCTTTATTTCAAGCAGTCTGATATATAGATTTGATCCTTACCTTCCGTTTCATTTACTTTTGCTTTCACAGTTGTCTGACAGTGTGATATACGTGCGCTTATATCGATGCACATAACGAAACAACTAGCTATATATAACATATGATCAAGAACATATGTGCGCTGAAGAATTTAATCAAAATTTGTGGTTAGTCTATATGAAAAGAACATGTGTTCAAAAGTAAAGATAGCAATCTGTAAAAGGCGAAAAAATTTTTAATGTATATATATATATTGTGCCTTAACTGATCATGCCGCAATCACTGATGTTGATACAATTTTAAATTAATTTTTAGCTTTTTGCATGGGACTCTGAATGAAATATAACATCACAGTCATAGGTCTAATTTTTTATTTATGAAAATGAATGCTGCTCAGTTTCACAATGTTGCCCACCTCTATTTCCACAGTATAGTTTAATATAGTTATAAAAACGGTGAGTCAACATACAAATAGCCTATATTGCATGTGCGGTATTCAACTATATCAAACAATCATGCAACGGGATCAACATATTGCTGCATGCATTAGTACTCCGAGTAGGGTAAGTAACCCATTATTTTAAATTTATTTATATCAGGATTATATAAGCAAGCTATATTTCGCCGGAGTAAATTAAATTTAAATGTCATGCTAAACGTGTGCAAAGGATTATAGTACAAACTGATCCCAAAATGGAGATGGGCTCTCATCAACAAAATAACGTTTTTGATTAAGGTTGTTTTTGAGTTACGCTTTTCAAGATTATAGAAAAGTTTCTTGATCTTAATATTTAATGTTTCTACATCTGTCTAATTTTGATAAAATGATTGTAGTAGTTCGTAAACAAAATAATATATATTTCTCACGTAGCTTAATCAAATCTGCAGTGCAGCTGTTTTTTGCACGCGTCATATGTTTTGTATAAGCCACTATATTATAGCTGCAACAAAAAATCTAGAACTGATATACCACCGCCTATCATTGATCTAATGGAGAGCTTATCAGTAAGCGACGTTTGTCACATGCAACACGGACGTCAGGTGTATCGAAATTAGTATAGGTAATCATGCGATGGCGAGTACAATTAGGGATTAATAGTACGAGTGATGTTTGGAAATTTTGCCAAAATTGGACGAGCCGCCGGGGCGAGTCCAATTTGGCAAATTTCCAAACATCACGAGTACTATTAATCCCTAATTGTACGAGCAACATCGCATGGTTACTTGTTTATTATTAGCATGACAAAATTGGATACGTACTTCTCAATGTCAACATCATATTCTCTCGCCAAAGCCCAGTCCTGCCAGACTTTCAACCAAAATTTGGTGCTTTTGTTTGTATTTTTATTTAGTTCTTTTGTTCAAGCAAAATTTGGTGTTTTCATTCGTATTTTCATCTAGTTCCTCCACGGCAATTTCATTTTTAAAATACCTTTCCGCCATTTTGTTTGTTTTGGGAAAATCATTAATTGTACTGCAGTACAATTAATGAAATAATTGTACTCCTCTCAACCAATCAACATCCAGTAATTTTGTCATGCTAATAATA